ATTTTTAGTTCAGTTGCTTTGACATCCGATTTTCCAAACAGTGACGTGCACGGGGATTGCCACATCCGGATCCTCCGGGCCATCCGGATGCCATCGGGTCCCGTCGGGTTCCGCGCCAAGTTCAAACACGATAAAAAATTGGTTGTGTCAGCGTCTGCGCGCGTCAGCTTGGCGTCCGTCTGAAGACACAGTCGGCATATTTCCTGTCGGAACTGAAACGCAATGCCAAAAATTTAAAGATTTTTTCAAAAATTGTTATTTTGTAAATCATTTTTTTTTAAATTGGATGATGATGGTGAGCCAAAGCAACACAATCATCGTTCTAGTCGGTTTCGATAACTGTTGACGAAAACGTGTCAGCCGAACCGTCTTTCCCTTCGAGTGACGTCAGCGGGGTGTTGAAAAGGCCTTGCTAGCCTCCTTGGCTGATACGGCGGGGCTCAGCCCAGGGCTCAGGGCTCGGGCCGCCGCAGCCCGGTTGGCGCTCTGTCTCTCTCGCACTCGCGGGGCGTCCAGCAAGGCCCGCCAGGCCCGCCAGGCCCGCAGGGGTGCGAGAGAGAGGGGAGACGCGGTTCGGAATGAGGCTGTTCGGGCCGAGACCTCTGTAGACTGAATCCGAGAGTCGTTTTCGTCGCTCTGTCTCTCTCGCACCCGTACGGGACGCCCCGCGAGTGCGACAGAGACAGAGCGACGAAAACGACTCTCGGAATGAGTCTGCTGGAACCAGATTCCGATGCGCGGGGCTACATGCCTGGCAGCCGGGCTACGCCGGGCTACGCCGGGCTACGCCGGGCCGGGGGAAGACCGCCGCAAGTCCTGGCGCGGCCTGCGCGCCACAGCGCCGATGTGGGGGTCTTGGCCTGCTCCGCGGCTCCGCGGCGGCCCTCAGAGTCCCCGCAGACCAGCGCGACCAGCGCGACCAGCGTGTGGTACACTCAGGAAGGCATTCTTCTGGCAAGCGCAGTGGGGTGTTCCTGTTGCTGACACGGGGCTATCAATATCAAAAATTTTCCCGCGCGACTCGGAAATCGATACCGCCTCTTTCAATAACCGTCCGATGTGTTCGATCAGGTGACTCGGATCGACGTAGACCGATGCGACTTCTGTACTGCCAGGCAGGGCCTACCCCTACAGCCCTCGACCAGTCGACGGTTCAGACGATGTTTGTTTTCAGTTTCGTCTCCAGGTCGCAACGGTAGGTTAGGTTAGGCTTGGGAAGGCCCCGACCTGCCGACGGGTACCGTCGTACCTCTTGGCTCGAATCGCAGCCCGACTGGCGCGCTCTGCACCCAGCGGCGCCCAGCCAACCGGAAGACAGGAAGCGCCGGCAGGCGCGGCGTAGGCCGACCCGCGGGGCACGCGTGCGCCCGCCTTGCCTACCTGCACGGCGCTCTCGCCTCGTCCTGCGCTACCGGCACAGAGAGGGGGGCGGGGCGGGGACTGGAGCGGCAAAATGGTCCTCGGTGCGTTTGGAGGTGCGTCCTCATGCGGTAGGTCGTGGGGCTTGGCTTGCTCGGCTTGCTCGGCTTGCTTGGCTTGCTGGGGAATAATTGTGCCATTAGAGGCAAAGCGTCGCCGGCCGCCCCGCCCCGCCCCGCCCCGGCGCGGCCGGCGGGCTTGGACCTTTACTTAGATCCGCACCCCGCCCCGCCTTCGCCGCCAAAGACAAAGACTGTCCCCCTCGCCCCGCCCCGCCCCGCCCCGCCCCCCTGGGTCCGTAATTGCCGGCCGATTGCGAGGCGAGCCGCTGTCGGTGAAGCACAAACCACAACGTTGATGAAAGAAGCACGTCACATTCTCACTTGTGCAGTCACCGCCTTCCTGTTCGTTTAGTCTCTCTCTCTCCCTCTCTCCACCGCGCCCGCCCCGGCCCGCCCGCAACGCCGGCAGGCCTCGCGCAGGTTCGAATACCACCCCGGGAGGAACGCACACACACACGCACATGTCGGCACGCAGAAACGCCACTCGTGTACTCGCGTTCACACACACACGCACACACACACATACACACAGACGGCAGTGCCTTATGGAACAGTTGATGCTCCTGACGGTGTATCAATCCAAGCAACCCGCACGCGCGTAATGGCTTTATCTCACAAGAGAAGGCTACCGTACGGAACGGAAAAGAAAAACAATCATAGGCGAAGAAGAAGAAGAAGAAGAAGAAGAAGAAGAAGAAGAAGAAGAAGAAGAAGAAGAAGAAGAAGAAGAAGAAGAAGGGAAACGGATATGGCGCTGCCGCCGCCCTTAAACAGGTTGCCAACCTCATCACATTTTATCCGTGAAATCCCGTCGAGTCAACGACATGATTCAGAACCCCTTTTACGACGTGTGTTTTGTGTGTGTTTGTGTGTGTGTGTGTGTGTGTGAGTGTGCGTGTGTGCGTGTGTGTTTGTGTGTCCCTGGCCGACGGCGGCCCGCTCCGCCCACGAGGAAGAAATATACTTGAAAATTTCTGGTTCATATGCGGCGATGAAACGCAAACAGGCAGGTGTGTGTGTGTGTGTGTGTGTGTGTGTGTGTGTGTGTGTGTGTGTGTGTGTGTGTGTCGGCTCCTTTCAACTAAGTCATCCAACGAGAGGACCCCGGCCGGGTTGGGTACGCCTCGGAAGTCCGCCGCAGCGCAGGTACCTGCTGTGGCTGGAGGTGGCCCTCCATGTGTCTTAGAGAGGGCCCCGATGACGCCGTGTGGGGCTCGGCGCAGTGGGGGAGGCGGCCAAAACTCTAGACGCATTTTGAGCTTCAGAGTCGCTAAATGGCACTCGAACCGAACGTGTGACCCCACCAACGGATTGCTCTCCGAACGAGGAATCCATTGGTGGGGTCACACGTTTGGTTATACAGTCTTATTTCGCGACTCTGGAGCCGCCTCCGTCGGTCTTCTGGCCCACCGTGCCACGGCCCGGCTCGAGGTACTGGAGCAAACTGAAGCCCACCGGTCAGAGCGACGAGGCGTGGAAGGGTCAGAGTGAATCCGAAGCCTATTAGCATTAATGTTTGCCGAAGCAGCGCCATGTGCGGTCGAGCGTGGTCTTCTTCGCACCCTTTTCGCCGCACCTAAAGAAAAATACAAAAACAAATGGCTGGGGGCGGAGTCGAACCCGGCGCCCGTGTGAATGACTTTGGAGCAGCGTGACGACAGCGAAGCGCAGCAAGCGCAGCAAGCGCAGCAAGCGCAGCAAGCAGAGCACGGAGAGACGGAAATAGCCGAGCACGTGTGGAGGCGGGCAAGCGGTCAGGTACACCGAGGAAGCGACCTTGAGTTTCAACTGCACCCGCGCGTGCTCTCACAAATATTCCACTTCGGGAGAAAGTCTCTGTTCAAGGCTTTGTCGGATTTGACCTCTGCTCGCCGCGCGTTGCCGCACGACAACGCGACCAGGAGCCCAGGGGTCGACCGGAAGTGCTCCGAAAGGCGGACCAAGTTTTGGCGGGAAAACCGTCACTTTCATGGAAATTTCCTGTATGGTAATACCACGTGCCACGCCTTGCCACGTCGCGCAACCGCATCGGTGCCGTATGGAATCTGCCCCCGTCTCGAATCTTAGGCATGACATCAACTGCACATGCATATGCACTACACTGTATGGAACCGGGAGGGAGAGGTTGGTTGCTGGCGGACGGGTGGTGTCGAACCAGTGACCCTGCTGACGTAGTTTCCTCCGTCCACGTGAGCCAGCCGTGCGTCGCCATGCTCAGATAGAAATAGCAGGGGCTGCTCAGGGAGCACGTTCAAGCACTGGACTGGGCTGGCTGGACATTCCTCGAGTTGCCGCCACTGCGCCAACAAGCCCAGTGGTTTCTCGATCGAAAACTGACGCCTTGTCAGCGCTGTCAGCTCACTCGCGGGACAACATCCCCTCGTCAGTTGCGGGTGGCTCGTCTGCTGGACTGGGTGACTGGGTGAGTGCGGACTTCCGACGAAAATGACCCTTGCAACTTCAATTCAGGGAAACATAACCTCACTTTTTTTTTTCGGCGGACCTGATTCAAACGGGTGACGTTATTGGGGTCTTCCGGTGTGCGGAAAGGGTAATTTGAGGTGTAGGCAGGCGGCGGGTAACTCGCCAGAGCTCTGGAGGTAGCAATCGAAGGCAGGCAGCGCAGGCAGCGCAGGTATGGACTTGACCTGACCCCACACCGGAGGATGTTGCTCATCACGCGACGGCCGCACCGCGCCCTGTCGGCACGCCGACGCACACCGTGAGGCACACCCCCAACCCGACCCATCCCGAGCCCACCAGGACCCACCAGGACCCACCAGGCGGGGGTCCGGCCACGCTATCTTTCGGTCATATTTTCTCCCATTCGACTGTTTTCGACTGCCGGCGGCCTTCGTCTCCTCGGAGTGTCGCAGGGGAAGGTGTTTTTGTTTTTAGCCGATCTTCCACCTCGTATGTGTTTTTTAAATGCTGCCTGCCTGCCTTTCGGTGCAGCCTTTTGTGCCTCTTCCTTTTGGGCCCTCCCTCTTAGTTCTTGTCGTGACCGCGGGGGGGCGGGGCGGGGCGCTGAGGATCCGATGGGGCGACACAGGTACAAAGGACGCAATTGGCACAGTGTGATGATTTAATTCCGATATACTGGATTCAGCACTGACTATCGTCTTCTTCTTCTTCTTCTTCTTCTTCTTCTTCTTCTTCTTCTTCTTCTTCTTCTTCTTCTTCTTCTTCTTCTTCTTCTTCTTCTTCTTCTTCTTCTTCTTCTTCTTCTTCAGGACACTTGTCCTGTCCTGTCCACCCCCTCAATGAACACTTCTAAGGTCCTCTTGCAGTCCTACCTGATGACGGCGTGGCGCGGCGAGGTGATGCACGCCCGCCGTGCCGTGCCGCGCCGTGCCTCGCCGTGCCGCGCCGTGCCGGTGGTGGGGGCTGCCCAGCGGACATGGACCGCCAGCTCGGTCGCCGGCCGGCTGCCGCTGGCTGCCAGCCCCGGCTGGCCGCGCCGTCCCTACCCGTCCCGTCGGCCGTCCCGGCCGTCCCGTGGCGTGGCGTGGCGTGCAGTCGTATCCCGGTGCCCGTGGAGTGCAGACGCATCGTGCGTGCTCACCTTGTTCGCAAAGTGTGAGGTAGTGGTAGTGCAGCGTGCGTGCGTGAGCGTGTGTGTGTGTGTGTGTGCGCGTGTGTGCGTGTGACAACACCGGAATCACAAGGCGGCAGTGCGTCTTGCCTCCATGTAGTGTGGGATCGAGTTCGTGATCGAAGTACTCGAGTGCCCAGAAGATGAGTGACCAGTGCAAAGTGTTTCAGCTTCGGCAATGAACTTTGGATTAATCACAATAAGATGGTGACGTCGTTATCTACAACCTAAGGTTAGTTTTTGTCGTTTTTGTTCTTGTTGTTTTTTTGCCGTGCACCTGCGAAGGATAAGCCGCGTGCTCCTACACCTGCCAAGGTTTGCGGGGACACTGTGGGGACACTGGGGACGCACTGCGCGCTGGAGCAGCTGGAGCAGACTGTGACGTCCACGACGTCCACGACGTCCACGACGCCCACGACGTCCACGACGTCCACGACGTCCGCGATCAGTTCGACGTCGTCCTCTGGACAGTCTGACAGTGCGGTTTCCTGGAATGTGACACTCGCTTCTGGAGGCTCCAGAGAGAGCCTTTTCTTTTAGTGCACTTATCACACTTTTCATTACTGGCGCTACGCGGCAAGGCTCGCCCGTCTCTCTCGCACCGACGGGGCGTGCCGTGGGGTGTCGTAGGGGTGCGAGAGAGACGGGGCGACGGCCACACAGACAGCGGCGCCTTGCTGTTGTTCTCCCTGGACGTCTTCGAGGGTCACCGTCTGTCTCCCTCTGGGTCTCCCTCTGGGTCCCTCTGGCCGCCTGGCACCGCCTGGCCGGCCGGCCGCGAGAGAGACGGATAGCTTTCGAACGCGAGCGCGGAGCAGGTCAGTGGAGTGCAGGGCCAGGCCTTGGCCAGGCCGGCGGACTGTCTCTCTCGCACTGATGGGGCGGCCCGTGTGGGTGCGGCAGAGACAGGGCGAGACTCTCAGTCTGCAGACACGACTGCAGCAGTGCCAGCGGTGGCACCTGATTCGATGCTCCAGACTTCGGCGCCTCCGGGCCTTCGGGCACCGCCAGGGCACCGTCCGAAAACAGGCCAAGAAAAACAATTGTCGTGTCACTGTTATTACAAGCGACACTCGCTCGGACGAGTCATCCTCGATGCTCTCGATGGCGGTGCAACGCGGTGCAACGCAGTGCAGAATCTCACTGGCCCACACTGCAAAGCCGCATTGTCTGCGACATTATTTTTTTCGCGACTCACTTAAAATTATTACACGGCTATAGTAGCGGTATCAACAAACACGCAAAAAACAGTCTCTAGTGCCCTTTGTCATTTGGCCGCCTTTTTAAATTTTTTTTCGGGCTGCGTGGGCCTGCCCGTCGGCCCGCTACTTTCAGGTGAAGCACTGGCGAATTCGCGTTGCCGGCGTTGCCCAGGGAAACGGGGAAACCCAAGCCGCCAAGCCCTTTTAGTTCGGTACAGTCCTGGCGGGAAGTCTCCTCGGTGGACCTTCTCAGTGGCCCAGAAGACCAAAATTGGAGACGTATTTTGAGCTCCAGAGACGCTGACAGGACTCGAACCGAACGTATGACCCCACCAATGGATTCCCCGTTCGAAGAGCAATTCATTGGTGGGGTCACACGTTCGGTTCGAGTCCCATTTAGCGACTCTGGAGCTCAGAACGCGTCCAGAAGTTTGGCCGCCTCCATCGGTTTTCTGGCCCACTGTGCGCAGGTCCAGAAGACCGATTCCGAGAGTCGTTTTCGTCGCTCTGTCTCTCTCGCACTCGCGGGGTGTTCCGTGTAGGTGCGAGAGAGGCAGAACGACGGAAACGACTCTCGGAATCAGTCCTCAGGGCGCGCGGCTCGAACCACCATTCAAACTTCGCGACACGCCCTCTGGCCTGTGCACTAGGGCCGTTCCACCATTGGGCCGTCCCGCCACTACACTCGTTTATTCCCGCGCTGCCCCTTTCTCGCAGTGTACGCGCTCTCGGGATGAACGGGTTTTGACAAAAAAGGCGAAATTAAATGTCAGCAACTGATTACCATGCGACACGCCAAGTCACACACGGCTGGCCTGCCTGCCTGCCTGGCTGGCCGGCCGGCCGGCGGAGAAATGGAGATGGCAGCCGCACAATTTGAGGAAACTTTGGTTTGTTTTATTTTTGTTTTTATTTTCGCCGAGACCGGTTGCTCGTCGCAGAGACTTGAACGCACTGCCGCTCCGCCGCCGGCCAAAACGTTATTTATTAATCCTTCGATTAGTTCTTAATCATAAAAACCGCGGGAAAGAATGTGATAATTGCCTCAGTGTGTGTGTGTGCTTGTGTGTGTGTGCGTGCGTGTTTGTTTTGTTTTTGTTGTTTTCTGCGTGCACTTCAGAGGAGGCTTTTCGAGGCGCGGTCGAGTGCAGATTTGATCGGAGCCCGTGGATGACACATCGTGCATCGCAAAAAGAAACCAAAAAAAAGAAGAAAAAAAGACGCAAAAAAATGAAATAAAAGTGTGAGGATTTTCACTTTTCGCTGCCCCTGAAAGGCCCGAGTGCGGTCCGCCCCGCCCCGCCCGGCCCGGCCACTCCACTGCGAGCGCACTGTGCAAAGGCACTGCACTGCGAAAACCGTACTGCAAGGTGAATGCACCCGGTACAGTCCGGTCCACAAACAGTGGCTTGGGTTAGGTCATTTCCAAGTCCGTTTCCCTTTTCGGCCGCTGGCGGCGCCGCCGTCGCCGCCAGGCTGCTGCCGGGCCGGGCTGGCACTGGCCGGCCGGCCGCTTGAAACGGATACTCGCGGTGTGGGTCCCAAGACGTCCCCAAGCCACGTGGCTCGCCCCGTTCCAATGCACAGAAGCATGATGGCGGACGCCCTTCTCTTGTGTGTGTGTGTGTGTGTGAGTGCGCGCGTCAATCTCTACACCGATACTCACTCGAGGATGTCGACATGACTTCCCTTCACTACACTGCTTTGCTCTGGTTCTCCGTAAACGTGGCGTCAATGTGCCGACCACACACACTATCCTTATCAGCGTATACAGGTGCGCCTCGCGAAGCTGCGATTTTATAATGAATCGGTCCCCCGTTTCTGGTCGGGTAGGCACCACGTAGTCCAGCGGTCCCGGAGCTGGCGATGAGTCCGCCCCGCCCCGCCCCACCACCTGCACGGCTGCAAAGCAAGCCAACGAGCGCATTCCAAACATTGCATTCACTCCGGACAGGTTGCGCTAATGAACGCAGCCCGCTCGCGCTACTGGGCTCTCTCACTCACACACTCACACACACACACACACACACGCACACACACACACACACACACACACTGGCCTGTGCGCGCGCACGCGGGCGTATAGAGGTCTTAAGCATATTGGTAATGGTTATTCTTGCGTGGTCAAAACATTCGATGTGAACAACCTGAGCGAAGAGTCCCTCTATAGCTGTACGAAATCCCCTTTGCCAAATGACACGCAGCCTGCTTTCCCCAAAACGGAAGCCCCGGTTGGCTCCGTTTCGCTGCCACTACACTGGTTTTGATTGCGTCGGTTTTGTGCCGGAAGCACTTTCACGAACCGTTTGTAGTGTGGTGGTACACACACCCCGAGCCACCGCGCCGCCCGCGCCGCCCGCGCCCCGTCATGAGAATTTCACTTGCCCGTAGATCCGGCAAGACTTTCTTCGGGGTGCGGTGCGTATGCACAGCTAGAAAGCACCCTGTCTGTCTCGGCCACTTTTTGGACAGATTGTACAGTTTCCGTGTTCCCTGTTTCTTTTTTTGTCAGTTTTTGACTGCAACAGACCACGCATACTCAAAAAAAGTCGTGTCATGAACCAAGATAGTAGTTTGCTCGCAACTTTAAACATTCAACTGCTTGGAACAAAAGAACTCACTTGAAACATTCAAGAAACATTCGAAGTGCTTGAAACAAGTGAATTTATTGCAACATCGAAGTTTTAGTTCACTTGCTCTAAGAGAAATGCCTTGGTTCAAGAAACTACACTGATGGGTTGTACTGGAAATGGAACTGGCGAGGAAATGGGTGTAAATTTGAATGCGCGGTGCCTCTCATTGGCCAGCGCGACGCTCTGCAGTGCACGCTGGGGCAGTGCTTCGAGTCTGGACGGCTTTCCTGCCAGTGTACTGGTCGCCAAAGCCGTATAAAACTTTGCCAAGCGTGTCTATCATTATAGGCTAAAAATAGCGCTGTGCAATCATGCCACTGACCCTGGGCACATGTCGGCGGAGACTCGGGCAGACGGACAGACAGCGGACTGGGACAGACAGACAGACAGTTTTAAGGGTGGTGCAGAAGCACCTACACTGTCAAAATTTGAGTCGTCACTTGATGACAATTTCAAGGCTAATTTTCCTTACAAGGATGTCATGAAAACAATTGATGATATTATTGTCACGCCCATGCAATAAGTATGGGGGCTTTGATGAAAATGCCATCAATTTGTGATGAGATTGCAACCATCGGAAGGTAATGAAAATACCATTCACGTTTTTGTCATAAAGTGACAACAAATGCTCACAGTGTAGTGGCTCTCGTAAGGGTTGCGGGACGGGCTGCTTGCCTGGCTAACAGACTGTTTGTGAAGATGATAGACAGACGGACGGGCGGACAGACAGACAGACAGACAGACAGACAGACAGACAGACAGTAGTGGGGGGCCATCGCTGAATATCCAGCCAAGGTGAAAGCGCAGAGACACTTGTAGCAGGACACGCCCCCTTCATATGTGTGTGTGTGTGTGTGTGTGTGTGTGTCTGTGTGTGTCCGTAATTTTTCGATGGCAGTGAGAAAATGCGATTCATAAATCGTGACGCGGTGGTTCGCGGCCAATACCGGTGCGAGTACGCGCGCGCGCGCGTGTCTGTGTCTGTGTGTTTGTGTGTGTGTGTCGGCTGTAATTAGGATCGGTTTCGGGGGCGTCCCTGGCGGCCTTGCGTGTGACGTCACCGTATTTTCACTCGAGGCTTTATACGTACTACTCCTTTTTGCCGCGCGCTCCGACCGACACCTGTCCGTAGCGGTGCGCGCGCCGCACACTGTTGGTTTCTCGTCTATAAATAGCGTACACACTGTACGCCAGGGTAATCGCTCATGTGCGGCTCCTGTCATCTGTCTGTCTGTCTGTCTGTCTGTCTGTCTGTCTCACAGTGGGCCAGCAAGACCGATGGAGGCGGTCATCACGGACGTGTTTTGAGCTCCAGAGTCGCCAAATGGGGCTCGAACCAAACGTGTGACCCTACCAATGGATTGCTCTCCGAACGAGGAATCCATTGGTGGGGTCAC